TACTTGGAAGGTCTACTCAGGATGCAACATGTATGCTGAAAGTAGACTATAGACCGAACATGATGGCCACTTAATACCTGCATTGCAAACCATAAGACCCAAAAGGAGAGAGAAAAAGAGTAAAAGGGCATGATTCTTCCACAGAGGTGGGGGAAGGAGGGGTGGGAAGGGGAGGGGAGAGGGATACTGGGAACATTGGTGGTGGAGAATGGGTACTAATGGAAGGATGGATACTCGATCATCCTAACTGAAACGTAAACACGGAAGTTTGTAAGTCTGTAACTGTACCTCATGCCTCACGGTAATTCCTTGAAAAACAAAAACTGCCACTGTCACTGTCCTCCCATTGTTATCGATTTGCTTGAGCGGGCCCAGTAACTTCTCCATTGTGAGACTTCTTATTACTGTGTTTGGCATATCGAATACGTAGCTTAAAACAAACAAACAAAAAAAACAAACAAAAACAATAGAGATATATTACAGTTTTAGAGACTAAGAAGTACAAGTTTCCCCACAAAGTCAGTGTCTGTTGAGAGCTGGTTAACTGGCTCATCGACATCCTTCTTTCACATGGCAGAAGTGGTTAGGCAACTCTCTGTGATCTCCTTCAATAGGGCATTGAACATTTCAAAGGCTCTGCCCCATCACCCTCCAAAGGCAGCACCTGAAAATACATGATATTGGACAATATGCTGCAGCATATGAATTCTGGAGTAGCAGAACCATGCAATATATAGCAATAGCTCATCCCTACCCAGTATGTGATTCATGCTCCATGCCTTACATATTCAGTTTTTGTAAAAGTGAAAAGAATGTGATAAAATACACATCATAAAACTTATTCTAGGGGCTGGAGAGATAGCACAGCGGGTAGGGCATTTGCCTTGCACGCGGCCAACCCGGGTTTGATTCCCAGCATCCCATATGGTTCCCTGAGCACCTCCAGGAGTAACAACTGAGTGCAAAGCCAGGAGTAACCCCTGTGCATCGCCAGGTGTGAACCAAAAAGCAAAAAAAAAAAAAACCTTATAAATTTATTCTTTTAATTATTTTTGTATAAAGCTTTAAGGTAGGAATATGTACAGTTGTTCAGATTTCTTACCTTGTTTATATTCCATAACTTAGTTTTGAATCACTTCTAATAGTTGTCACCCTACTCCAAACCTTCATTATTTTTCATTCAGTCATCCTAAGGATATCATCGCCAACATATTGTGATCATACAACATACATGAGACATTAAACTTTTTGCTACATAATTTTGATATAATATCCTACCAATAGCAAGTAAAATGTTTGACTTGAACTAGTATGGTCACCAATGACCTTCTTTGGAAATTAAATTAGAAACGCTACGGAACTGACTGAAGTTTTCTTCCATTCATACTTTTTTTTTTACTGCCGTTATTGTGATGCTGAAAGATAGAGTAATTTTCTACAAGTGAAAAATGCTTTAAGTATATTTTCTCCCAAGACTTTTGGCCTGTTGCTGCAGAATATAATGTCTTATTTTGGTGGGGTAGGGGAACACCCAGAAGTACTCAGTGCTTACTCCAGGCTCCGTGCTCAGGGATCATTCCTGGCTGACCAGATATCAAACCTGGGTTGGCTGCTTGCAAGAAAAGCACCCTACCTGATCTACTATTACTCCAAAATAATTTTATCAAATAAAAAGTTGATCATTATAATTCTAACTCTTGTAAATAGAAAATATTTTTTTTTTATTTTTTGAGATTTTCTGAGTGTCAAGCTACCGAGAGTATCTTGCCCGCATGGCAAAGCCTGGCAAGCTCCCTGTGATGTATTCAATATGCCAAACACAGTAACAACAAAGTCTCACAAGGGAGACGTTACTGGGCCCGCTTGAGAAAATCGATGAACAACGGGAGGACAGTGACAGTCTGAGTGACAATATTTATATAACTAAAGATAATTTTCTGTGAACACTGGGAATGAAATGAAATACTGTTTGCTAATGGATCAAAGTATAATAAATTTGAGCAATGATTATCCACAAGGGAAGATGTTTCTGAATCTGTGCATACTTCCAAAGGAAATGGTTGTTTATATGGGTAAATGGGGGATGGTGTGACCTTTTTCAAATTGCCTTTTGCAAGAATGGTCATCCATCTTGGCCTGTCCAACAGTAAATCATTTCCTTAAATCATTTTCAGTATCAATCAAGCAATATTAATAGGGCAACGTCGATAAGGCACATTACCACTAAACTGTTATATGATAGTTATAAAGATGTACAAAGATAAGTTAATAAGGAAAATTAACCTTTGGTTTTCTAAAACTAAATTTAATGTAGAGTAATTTGCCTTGCACAAGGCCTACCTGGCCAACCCGGGTTCGATTCCTCCGCCCCCCTTGGAGAGCCCAACAAGCTACCAAGAGTATCTCCCCTGCACGGCAAAGCCTGGCAAGTTACCTGTGACATATTCAATATGCCAAACATAGTAACAAGAAGTCTCACAATGGTGACGTTACTGGGCCCACTCGAGCAAATTGATGAACAATGAGAGGACAGTGACAGTGACATTGTGATGCTGGTACTTCTGGCATTGCAGTCCAGGGATTCATATCAAGCATGTTCTTTGTCCCTTCCACTATGTCTTTAGCGCAAATTACATATGTCATGTACTGGGGAAGAAATTTTGTATAGTTTCCTGTTTTCAGATTGCCCATGGGACCCGATCAACAAACTTCATATGATTGAAAGTATTTCTTAAAGTCATCATGAAATACTTCTCCTTAATTTCAGAAAATAATGTAGACAAAATAGTTTGGTATGAATTACTTAACTTACCCTAAGTATTTCCTAGAGAAATGCAAAACAGCAGCATTAAATTTTTATCTATATGTCTAGTCTGTGTCTCCCCTCTTGAAATTTAACTCCATGTGTTTCTGTTTCCGTGGATCCAACTCAGCCCAGAAGATGTTACGTTTGACTGGCTAAAATGTTGATCTATATGCCCTAAATGTTGATCTATAGGCTGGAGCGATAGCAGAGCGGGTAGGGCGTTCGCCTTACAAGCGGCCAACACGGCCGACCCGAGTTCGATTCCTCCGCCCCTCTCGGAGAGCCCGGCAAGCTACCGAGAGTATTCGATATGCTAGACACAGTAACAACAAAGTCTCCAATGGAGACGTTACTGGGCCCGCTCGAGCAAATCGGTGATCAACGGGAGGGCCTTTACCTTTACCTTTATATGCCCTAAGACAGTTATGTAAAGAGCATTCCAATTCTTTATTATAGATCTAAAATCGTTTCCAATATTTTTAACTAAAAACTCCCAATAGTAATATCATAACAGTTTGCTAATATCATGAGAGGAGTTCTTGCGGGGGGGGGGGGGGGTATTTGGGGAAGGTATTTTAGAAACCAGACAGCCCCGGGCTGCATCAGGTAACATCCCTGCTAGTTGCATGCTTGATTTCAATCTTCCTTCAAGCCAAGCACCCCTTCTCCGCCCAGGTTCCACTGCATTGTCTCTACCAGCTTGATCAGAGAGCCTGTCAATAGCATTTGTCTATTTTACAATTGCCATTTACAAGGCTATGCTGAACCCTGGAGTAATGTACTGTATTTGGCAGCAATTGCTTTTGGGCACATATGCTTCAAATCTGAGAATTTCATAGATAGATATGGGAATCTTTGTAGAGATCTCTGAGGCAAGCTGGTATTTAACGCAAAAGCAAACCCATTTGGAGCTAAAGCACTTTCCATTAGGCAGCTTGGCGGCTGTTCTACGAGGCAGACTCACTGTGCTCGACGGACACATTTCGATTAAATGCTGCTTTGTATTCCTCCAAAGATGGGAACAATAAGGACGTTTGTCAAAGGAAAAACTGCAGCAAACGATTTCATGTTGAACATCTGTACTCTGCGGTTCATTGTTTGCAAGAGTTTATTGACCATAATTTTGATGCATATAGGTTTTAAAGAGTATAAACTGCATTTATCTTGGGCGCCTATCATTTATTTGAGTCTTGGCTTATTTATTTCCCTTTTTCTGGGCATTTTATTTATTTTGAAACTTTGAAGGGATGAAGAAAAAGATGTTTCCCAAAAAGGAAGTTTTAGTGAGTTCTGCAAAATTGATGAGGACTCTCTTTCCACAAAAACGATTTAAGCAATTGAATTGAAAAATGTTTCACATTAAGCATATTATATCTTTACAATACCTATAAGCTCTAAACATCTCAAAAACAGTTTATAAACTTTAAGATCCCTCTCTTAACCCATTGTCCTTCATACTAATCATAGTGATATTTCCAGAATAAAATACAGAGGCTGTCAATTGGAAAGGAAGTTAACGGTAGCAAATTCAGAAACTTAATAACATCCTTGTGTATATTATCTAGAGTTATTGGATGGTCTACTAAGAAATACGTGAACTTTCTTCTTGCATATTACAAAGGAAAAACATAACCTAAGCATGCCATGCTTCAAATTTAGATCAGTCATGATTTGATTTATTGATGTTGTCTACGTCTACTGATGTAACTCTGTTAGCATATAAACTATGGATTTGTGGACAAGAGGAAAGACAAAGACTAGAAACTGTCCATCTGAAAAGATGATAATAGATATGAGATATTTGGGAATGAATAGTCCATGTAGAGTCTGGGTGGAGAATTGAAATTGGGAAGATTTGATGTCTAGCCCCATTACCAAGTAAGTTAAACTTTCATGAACTTATTTCTTAATTTCTAATACACAAATCATGGTATATATTATAGATCATTTTTACATCTATATATAAAGTAGTATAGGCACTGTAAGTTTTCTATGCATGTCAGATGTTATTATTATTCTATTCAGTATTGGATTGTCTATGTCTAAGACTTGTCTAAGTAAAACTTGATGGATTTGATTTAGTAAAATCTATTTTGTTCTTCTGACGTAGAGTTGTCTCTCATCACAGAAGAAGAAAGAAAGAACTCTTGAGTAGGTCACTAACATCTACTTTTTGTTTCGTGTTTATTTGTAGGGTGTACTCAGGCAGAAACTCGAGATGGTTATGTGAGCTTCTCCGACTTGGCAGTTTTGATCTCTGGGTCAAACTGGCATTTTATTTTCACTGTCACTTCCCCTCCAGGTAATTTCAGCAGAGTGTGTTTTTATGACCTGTTTCTGTCTTTCTTTTTCCAAATCCCTTATCCCTGATAATTGGAATAGCTACCATCGTGAATAAGAAGCTGTTATACTTTAGCAAAAATATTCACTTGGTTAGGCCATTAAGATGTGAAAAGCAGGAATGAACTCGTGTAGAATCTGAGTCTGGAGGTGGGATGCGGTAGTGTAGATAAAAAACTTAACCATGACGTTGTAGAGTACATTAGATAAATATTAATAAAATACGTTTTTTTCTAATAAAAGAAAATCCTGAAAGGTAAAAATACAAATGTCTATTTGCTCTAATTGTTAGAATTTTGTTTCATTGTTCTTATGAGTTTTATTTTTATTGCGGAGTCAGAGAGATAGGATAGCAGGGAAGGTGCTTGCCTTTCACATGGTTAACCCAGGCATCCCATATGGTCCCTCCAAGCTTACAGGAGTGAATCCCTGAGCACAGAGCCAGGAGTAAGTCCTGAGCACAGCTGGGTGGGGCCAAAATCACAATTAAAAATATCAATTGTTTATGATATTAGTTGACGTATTTGATTAGAGACTATTAGAAATATTTATTTTTATATTAATTAGGATATTAATTAGAAAAAAGATAATCTGTAAGAGTTTTAGAATATTGCAAATTATATATTTTTTTGTGTTTTATTTTCTTTTTTGAGTCTTACCTGGCAGTACAAAGGGCTGACTACTGGCTTTGCTTCAGTGGTGCCTTGGGGGTCACATGGGTCTGTGGATCTAATCTGGGTTATTTACATGCAAGGCAAGTGCCCTGACTGCTATAGTATTGTTCCAGTTCTTAGATTATTCACGATCAGGATCATCCTGTTGTTCGTCGATTTCGAGCAGGCCCCAGTAACGTCTCCTTCTTCCTAGCCTTGAGATTTTAAAAGAGCCATTTCAATGCTCTTTCAGGATTAGGAGGATGAGACCCTTCATTATTACTGGAATTGGGCATATTGAGTACGACATGGGAAGTTTTCCAGACTCTGCGGTGCAGGCAAGATACTTTTAGTAGCATGCCAGGTTCTCCAAAGGAAAACTGAGATAATAAGATGTCGGGAGCTGGGTTTTAAATTCTCTGCATCTTGGTCATTGATGGGACCAACCTGGCACTGGCGGCAGCTGGTGGGTGAGACGCCTACTACTGGAAGATGGGGGGTCTGTGTGGAGAAGGCCCAGTCCCAATCCGAGTAGGCTTGGAGACCTCAGCCCTGGGACTCGCATGCCTGGGTTCCTCTGTCAGTTCTTTCATGCATGAGGCCCATCCGGACGTGTGGAGAGTGGTCCCAGATTATTAGATTATTAAAATTTATAAATATTTTGTTTGGGGGCCACATTCAAAAATGCTAAATTCTACTCCTCGAGTGGTGCTCAGGAGATCTTGTAATGCCAGGAATAGAATCCAGGACTCCCACTTGCTATCACATACTCCACCCGTTTGATTTGTCTCCTACCCGGATTAACATCTTATCTTTGCGTCTTTTCCTGGTCTATTGCTCTCCCAGAGAAAGTTAACTATCTTCATCCAAAAACTTGTTATTTTAACAGCAGAGGCATAATGCTTGTTTCTCTACTGTTAAATAATATATTGTTTATATGATCTATGAGTAAATTCTATATATGACCTAGTTCTTAACTAGACTAAAGTCACTGAAAAAAGCATTGAAACAAAATATTTTCCCTTCTAAGTATTCTTGAAATGTTTGCTTTATTGGTATATAATGTTATTCAATAAGTTTGTAGCCGGCAATATGTTAAACTTCTAAGCATATTAACCATTTGAAACACAACTTTCCCATTTCCAGGGAGGGTAGAACCTTTTATACAAATCCCATTTTCATGAGGGGTAGAACATGAGGAAATTGAAATTTAAATATAAGTAACCTTCCATACAGGAGTACAGAAAATACAATTTTGCTCTTCTATATTTTATTTAAGGATGGAATTCTGATACACAATTATCCACTTGGAAAAGATGATTTCAATATTGAATTCACAATTGTGATTTATCATAACCAAAGTCTAACTTCATAAGAGAGCATCTGAAAGAATTCTAAGAGTACTAAAAATCACATATGAATTGAAAAATAGATATTTGTAGTAATTTATTCATTTTGGTCAGGAAAGTTTGTCTGTTGTTTAAGACATGCGATTCTAAAGACAAGTTGAAGCCCAATAGTATACTTCTCAAAAGTAAAATATGAGACTTATGAAAATATTTAGTAAATATTTGTCAACAAATTAGTTAGCTCTTTAATAGAGACCCAAGAGGATTCCAAAGATAGTTTCAAGAGAAAGATATATATTAGATAACTAGGAAAAAACAGTCAAGTTTGTTAAATTGGACACAGATAAATAAAATGATAATCCCTGAGATTATATCTTAATTAGACAAAAATCACTTGCAGCTTAATTATCTTCTAAAAATTGATAAAAATTCGACCCTAATTAATATAAATATTTTACATATTTTATTATTAAATTATTAAATAATTTAAGTATTTTATTATAAATAATATTTTACAAATATTATTTTAAGGAATAGATTATAAAACTAAACGTAAGATATGATATAGGCATAAACATCTCAATGACATTTACAACTTTGAGGCAAGTTTTAGAGTTTATATTTAGTACTCTCTACTAGTTTTAATTTTAGGGTCCAATAATGGCACAGATGAGAAATCATCCTGGAAAGTTTTGAGAATCTTTTCTTAAATTACACCTAATAATTTTAAGTTCCAGTCTATGTGAAAAATCCAAGTTAGGAGATAGTGTTTGAAGAATAAAACAGAAACATTGATGGAGATGGAGCCGGAAAGATAATGAGATAGGTCACCTGCTTTGCCTTTTATCTCACCTGAGTATGATCCCATTATGAGACCCGATATGATCTCCTGAGCCCTGCCAGGGGTGATCTCTGAGTACTTAGCAAGCCCTAAGCACTGCCAGGTACAGTACAAAAACACTCCCCCCTCCAAAGAACCTAGAGAGACCTTCACTTCTGTGACTCCTTGTTGAAATTATACTGATTAACACTATAGAGCTTCAAAGTGATTCCTTTTATCCAGATATATTAATTTTGAGAGTTCTAGAATTATTTGGAAAATAATTCACACAATGATCATTCACTCATTCATTCATTCATTCACACAATGATCCAGGATATGGTCACTTTATTGCTTTCTGCATCAAGCTGATCTTCTTTAGAGAGATAAATATTTAGAGAAAGGAACACACCATTTCCCTTCTATTTTAATAAGATGGACATTGAGGAACTGCGAAGCTAAGTAGTTTTATCCAAGTATGTATGGGGTCCTCTTAAGTCTGGTGTATAGACTAATGCCATTCATTTCTCTACTTCTGAACTTCTAGACACACTCTCAAGGGGAACATGTAGCATTGATTGGCCACGTGTCTTTGTATATGCATCATCACATCCATGCTCTAGGCTGTGGTTCCCTAACCATTTCTTAGTCATTTTTACTTCAAGAGTTCTAATTGGGCTACTGCACTAAGAAAGAGACATACAAGGTGTCCCCAAAACCTAACCCAGGGAAATGCTTATAGATGCCATGCCTTTGCTGAAAAAAATAAAAGTTTATTATCTTCCAGAAATTCATTTGGCTTGCTCATCAGTTCACGGAGATCTCTTCCCAAATATCACCTCCACATGGATTTTTCTCTCTTTTTTTGCCATTCGGTCCACAACAACATCCCCAAACCTGTCCCTAGTGCAGTCATTCCCAGTCTTCTGATCTCACATCGGTCTTCACAGTACTTGTGTGTCTACTTATTTGTCTACTGCTTGTTTGCTCTGCCCCCTTCAGAACCTTAGTTCTGAAAAGGGACATGAATTCTTCTGCTGCCTTATGTCCTCAGGGCATAGGGGAAAACCTGGCACAGCACTTCATTGGCACAAATAAATGTGTTTATGAATAAGTATTGAAATTATGTCTGATTGCATTTAAAATGTTCTGCTGCTAAAAATATTTGAAGGCTGGTGGTTTCCACCCTTGGGCCCAAGTCGCTGCTTCAGGCTCATAAACTGATCCTCCTGGTTTCACCTTCTGTTATTATTTGGATTCTAAACACCTCTATGACCTAATATTTTATGTCTGCTATAGTAAGTGTCACTTCTCAGCTCAGAATTTTCCCTCTATAAAACCTCATTGCTTTTCGTAGTTAAGGACCTTTGGGACGATGTTACATCTCTACCAAAATTGTCTAAGATAGTTGTGGGCATCAGTCCCCAGACTGTTCAGTCAATCAGTCCCTGCATTAGTTCTTGAAACATCAATTGCCCTTTTCTTCTTTTTATCTATTTTGTAAGCCTTCAAAGCCCCTCTAAGATATTCCCTTCCTCTGGGATGCCCTTCCTCAGTCATATCAAGGGAAAATAAACTTCCAAAGCAATTCGCTTGCCTTATGCTGATGGTTCGTGGCATGCTCTAATTTGTATTACACACATTTGCTTGTAAAGTCTTATTTAATTTAATAGCTTGTAAATATCTTAAGAATGTGAACAGTTTCTTACCTACTTAACAAAGTAAGCAATCATTGTGAAGTCATTGGAGAATGGATAAGAGAATGAAGAATTTTGGTTTTACATTCGTGAATTACAAGTAAAGTCTATTTTCCGATTTCTGGGTTAGATTTAGCTAATTAAGAAACCCATAAAATGCAGCTAATTGACAACAAACAAGCCAAATGTGGCTCAAGCACAAGATGGACACACAGGAGAACCGTTTCTAGCTAATTTTGGTTATAGTAGCTTTGGGACCAAACCCACCTGAAGTGAACAGACTGAAGAGCTAACTAGGACTTCCAATCTAATTGTAAGGGTCATCCAAGGAAAAACACAGCAAAGAAAAACATGTTATTTCTTTGAGCTGAGAAAAAAATACTCTTTTTTTCCCTGGCCTATTCAGATGAACGCAGAGGTATGAGGGCTGATTAATTTTGAATGAACCACTTCAAAAATGCTGGTTATAATATATATATATATATTCAGGAAAATTTAAAAAATAATTATTTTTCATGAGGCTTAATTGACATATTATAAAATCTATGCATTTAAAATATAACAGTTGATATTTTAAACAATATAATGAATGTACCTATTACCTTCCAAATTATATACTGATTTAATCTTTAATTTTAAAAATAAATATACAATACATTTTATCATTTTGGGTTTTTTTATGAATTTAAATACATGTACAGATCCATGTGATTAAAACCATAATTAGGATAATAAACACTTCACAGAAAATATCCTTGTTGATTTTCTTCTGTTCTCACATAATCTTCTACCACTACTATTTAATTCCCTAACCACTGACTTATTCCTAATCATTTTTTTCATTTTTTCTGCAATATCATGTATGTGGAATAAATGGACATATATATATATATATATATATATTCCTTTAGAATGGACTCCTCTAACTTGGATAATGTTTTTAGTACTTTTTATTTCTTTATTTAATTTTATTATTATTATTATTATTATTTTATTGAGTCACCATGCAATACAATTACAAAGCCTTCATGTTTGGTTTGAGCTTCAACATACAATGATCGAACACCCATCGCTCCACCAGTGAACATTTTCCACCACCAATGTCCTCAGTATCCAGCCCCTCTCCTCAACCCGGATCAGTCCTCCTACTGCCTCTATGGCAGACAATTTCCCCAATACACCCTCTCTACCTTTGGGCATGATAGTTTGCTTGAATTTTCCCACCATTATTCAAGCCTGCCTATCAGGGACAGATAAATATATATATATATATATATATATATATATATATATATATATATACACACATATATATAGTTACTGACTTATTAATTTTAGTGTTTTATAAAAGCAATATTCATCGATCTACTTTGTGCCTTTGTCATCTGCATCTTGTTCACTATATTTTGATTATATTATCATATTGTTGGGCTGGAGGGATAGTTTGCCTTGCATGTGGCCAGCCTAGCCGAGCTGGGTTTGATTCCTCCGTGATTCCTCTGCCCCTCTCGGAGAGCCCGGCAAGCTACTGAGAGTATCTCCCCCGCACGGCAAAGCCTGGCAGGCTACTCGTGACGTATTCAATATGCCAAACACAGTAACAACAAAGTCTCACGATGGAGACATTACTGGGCCCGCTGGAGCAAATTGATGAACAACAGGAGGACAGTGTTACAGTGCTATCATATTGTTAACATGCTGCCATTGGTATTTTGTTTGTGTTTTACAGAGGCCAATTTCACGGTTCGATCTCAGCCTTTTTCTGTGTCCCCGGTGATTAAGACAGAGAAGACAACAGTCATCCTGGCTGTTTCCCTGTGCTCGGGAGTGTCATGGTTGGCACTCTGCTGCCTGGTGTGCTGTTGGTTAAGGAGAAACAGAAGCAGAAGTATGTTGTGGTTTGGGGGTGGTGGTGGTGAGATGAACATATCTGAAAAATGCTACCCTGTATCTAACGCATTAATGATACTTTTTTCTTATCCCACAGAAATAGGCATATTGAATATGTCACGGGTAGCTTGCCAGCCTCTGCCATGCGGGTGAGATGCTCTCAGTAGCTTGCGGGGCTCTCCGAGAGGGGAGGAGGAATTGAACTGGGATCGGCCATATTGGCTGCGTGCAAGGCAAACGCCCTACCGCTGTGCTATCGCTCCAGCCCAAAGTACAGGGCTGGAGCGATAGCACAGCAGTAGGGCATTTGCCTTACAAGCGGCCAACACAGGCGACTCGAGTTCGATTCCTCCACCCCTCTTGGAGATCCTGGCAAGCTACCGAGAGTATCTTGCCCACACGGCAGAGCGTGGCAAGCTACCCATGATGTATTCGATATGCCAAACACAGTAACAACAAGTCTCATGATGGAGACGTTACTGGGCCCGCTCGAGCAAATCGATGAACAACGGGAGGACCGACGGTGCACAGAAATAGCTCTCCTTTTCCTTCCCTGCTGTTTGTCGTGTTATAATGTCTCAGAGTCACACATTTGCTTGTCTTGCTCAAGAGGTCACATTTGCTGTGAACCCAGCCATGAGATCGGTGCCAGAGTTCACATTGTAGGGGTGGCAGCAGGGATCAAACTCATGACATCACACACGAAAGGCAGGCCCTCTACCCTGTTCCATATTCCTAGACCTCAAAGATGAAAGTTTATGGAACTTTACAGGATCATAAACTACCTTGAGCTGAGAGGTTCAATTCATGCAGAGACAAGAGCTGTTTAATCTTAATTGATTTTATCCAAGAGATAGTTTGCATTTATTGATCACTTCTCATAAACCAGTTTTTAGATACATGAAATTGTTCAGTCCTTACTACCACCCTATGAAGTTGGGAAGGAGTGCGAGGTCTATGACAGGGTAGTGGCATGAAACACAGAGAGGTTAAGTAATTTTCCCAAAGTCACTTGATAATTTGAACTTCCTTTAGATCCTTCCCTCTGAAGCAGTATACTCCACTTCCTGAGTGACCCCCATATAATGAGGCATAGAGTGGGGTGGGGATGCCCTCTTCTTTTGAAGAAGGAAGAGAGAGCTTGGTGGTTTTAATTATCTTCTTGAACACTTTCACTTTCTCGGGTGCAGATCAGTTTTTTCATGCCAGAAACATGGGTTGGAGCAATAGCACAGCAGGTAGGGCGTTTGCCTTGCATGTGGCCAACATGGCAGAACCAAGTTCTAGTCCTCTGCCCCTCTTGGAGAGTCCGGCAAGCTACCGAGGGTGTCTCGCCCACATGGAAAAGCCTGGCAAGCTACCTGTGATGTATTTAATATGACAAACACAGTAACAAGTCTCACAATGTTACTGGGCCCACTTAAGCCAATCGATGAACAACGGGAAGACAGTGACAGTGACAGTGATGGAGAATTACTGAGAACAAGATGAGCTGTGAATAGAATCTCTGTTTTACTCTGTTCTTTTAGTGGAGAGGAAGGAAACAAATCAGGCACCAGCAAAATACTTTCTCCAAGACACCCTGTTCCAGAATATCTTCGTTACATAGAGATGTTAGTCGAGTAAAATTATAAGGCAAATTAGTGTTTATTACTTTACAGTAAAAAAAAAAGAAAAACTATCATTGATCATCCTTAAAGCACGATTCTTTAATTCAGTTGTAAGATCTTGTTAGTTCTTAGAATCTTGCTACAATTTCAATAATTAGTGAAAACCCCAAAGAACTTTTGTCAATATGTGTTTAAGACAAAATGTAAACTTTATCAATATACTTTAAAGTAACTGTAATTATAAGGCTATGTAAACATAACCCGTTTTCCTGTTATTTTGAGCTTACCTCTCCAGCAGAGCTCAGCGCTCTGGAACTAGGCTTGGGAATGAGGGTCTGATATTTCACTGCCTGAACCCAAAGATGCAGTGTAACTTGCATCCAGAGGAGCTCAGGACCACCAGGATGACCCTGGGAATCAAATTCAGAGCTCACTTATGCAAGGCATGCACTCCAATTTTTTTAGCTCTCTCTCTCTCTCTCTCTCTCTCTCTCTCTCTCTCTCTCTCCATTACTGTTCATTTTATTCATTTTTATATATTATATGAAATACTATCTTTTATGATTCAGCATTGATTGCAAATAGCAATTCCAATGTTCTTCTCACCCACACACTCAAAAGGAAGAAAATGGATGATCACCCTGAAAGAAATAATAGACTCACAGGCTCAAGCATTTTGGTTTGACAAAAAGGGATTGGAGACTGGAGAGGGCCGAAGTATAGATCAGCTGATTGTTTTCTTTACATGCTGGAGGCTGGGATCACTTCTGGGAGGGACCCCAGAACACTAGCATGAGCACAGAACTGGGAGTACCTTCTGGGCATGGCTAATATGGCCATCAAGCAAAAACAAGTAAACAGGCAAACAAACAAAAAGCAAACAAAATCTAAAACAACATGGGAATGGAATGTTCAAGGTATGACTAAGGCTCTTTGTAGGCTTTGAGGGGGAGGGGTTCTGTTTCTTATTTCTGCACCCTGGCGGGACACCTTTAGGGTTCCCTGTTCTCCGTAAGAACAAGTGACAGTCACATCTACTGTGCCTGATTAGACCTACACCTGGGGCTGGACCCCGTTCCTCCTCTTTTTTAACACAAAGTTCACAGAGCCCACAGGGACAGGCAAGCTGAGAAAACCCTCCTCGAGAAAGGAACAACAGAAAACCTCAGTTTCCCCTGTCTCCTCGGTACAAATTGCATTTCCTCTAGAGACTGGACAGAGGCCAGGCCTAAGCAGGCAGCCTTCAAAGCATAAACCTGTCTTCTTTGCTTTTCCTATTTCTAAAATCACGGTTTTACTTTCTTTTTCTTTTTTTTTTTTTTTTTTTTGGCTTTTTGGGTCACACCCGGCGATGCACAGGGGTTACTCCTGGCTTTGCACTCAGGAATCACTCCTGGCGGTGCTCAGGGGACCATATGGGATGCTGGGAATCGAACCCGGGTTGCCCACGTGCAAGGCAAATGCCCTACCCGCTGTGCTATCGCTCCAGACCCCACGGTTTTACCTTTGAACTGAGGTTTCAAAGTATAGTAAAGGGCAGGGGCGTGGTTTGAGGGCCACACCCAGGGGTGTTCAGGTGCTCTGTGTTCAGGGATTACTCTTGCCAATGTTCGGGGGACCATATGTGGTGCTGGGGATCAAACCCCGGTCAGCATTGTGCAAGGCAAGAACCTTACCTGCTGTACTGCCTCTCCAGTCCGAGAATGACATTTTTACAAACCTCTTCAATGTACGTTAAATGAAGTCAACTAAATTTAAGTTATATATACTTTAATGAAAAACTCCCAAATACTGAAGTATGCATAGTAAAAATTTGTGTTTCAGTAATACCTCCAAACAATGCCTGGCATACAGAATACATGCACATTTTTATTACAGTCATGGTATGGTCACGGTCTTCCCGTTGTTCATCGATTTGCTTGAGTGGGCCCAGTAACGTCTCCATCATGAGACTTGTTGTTACTGTGTTTGGTATATCGAATACATCACGGGTAGCTTGCCAGGCTCTGCCGTGCGGGCAAGATACTCCCGGTAGCTTGCCGGGCTCTCTGAGAGGGGCGGAGGAATCGAACTCGGGTCGGCCATGTTGGCCACTTGTAAGGCAAACGCCCTACTGCTGTGCTATCACTCCAGCTATATTTTTAAATAAAAAAAATAGTGAAAATTAAAAAAATGATCACTCCCGTTAGGAGGAAATTGAAGATATAAAGACATCAATCAAATGCATAATCCCTGGCTTTGATATTATACTAAAGTATGCTATATAGGGAGCCATAGCACAGCAGTAGGGCGTTCGCCTTACAAGCGGCCAACATGGCCGACCCGAGTTCGATTCCTTCGCCCCTCTCGGAGAGCCCGGCAAGCTACCGAGAGTATTCAATATGCCAGACACAGTAACAACAAAGCCTCCAATGGAGACGTTACTGGGCCCGCTCGAGCAAATCGGTGATCAACGGGAGGGCCTTTACTTTACTTACTTTATACTTAATATAAGTATAGTATAATATACTTAATATAATACACTTAATAAACAATATACTTTATGTACGTGTTATGTAGTATATGGGCTGGAGCGATAGCAGCAGTAGGGCATTTGCCTTGCACAAAGCCAGCCCGGCCAAGCCGGGTTCGATTCCTCCACCCCTCTCAGAGAGCCCCGCAAGCTACTGATAGTATCTCGCCCGCATGGCAAAGCCTGGCAAGCTACCCATGACGTATTCAGTATGCCAAACACAGTAACAACAAGTCTCAAAATGGAGACATTACTGGGCCCGCTCAAGCAAATGGATGAACGATGGGAGGACAGTGTTTTGTTTTTTATGTAGTAGATTATGCAAGTAGTTAATAATGGAGGGAGTGGTAATAGGTATATAGGCATCCATGTACATTTCTTTGCAACTTCTTATTGAGTCTATATTTATTCCAAAATAAAACATTAAAAATTGCTACTTTTCCCATTATTACAGAAATAAAAAATGAAGAGGTTTCTGAATCCCTGACTAATGATCAAAAGAATCACACCTCACCCAAACAAAGATCGCAAGTAGATACTGGAAAGGAAGACACCAAGATAACAGAAGGTAAACTGAGCAACAGGGCCGATTTCCCACCACATACACTCGCTGTGGATCAATTGCAGCCCCCCTTGCTAATGGGTGATCAGCTTCCGAATCAGGTTACTTTATTGCCCCCTTCTTTTTTTGTAATTTTTTTTGAAATCTCGAGGCTATTTCACCCCAACTTAGGAAAACATAAGGCCAACTGATTCAAGTACTAGCCAGTTTTTTATTATATATTCATATACATACATATGTATAGATTATGTGTAAATATCACTGTATCACTGTATCAGTGTCATCCCATTGTTCATCGATTTACTCGAGCGGTCACCAGTAATGTCTCCATTTGTCCCAGCTCTGAGATTTTAGCAGCCTCTCCTTACTTGTCTTTCCCAATGCTATTAGAGGCTCTTTTAGGATCAGAGGAATGAGACCTATTATTGTTACTGTTTTTGGCATATCTAATATGCCACGGGTAGCTTGCCAGGCTCTGCCATGCAGTTAGGGTACGCTCTGTAGCTTGCTAGGCTCTCCAAGATATATATATATATATTCATAGATATTTTATATATATAAATGTATATATTTCCCTCTATGATTTTTTGCCTACTATCTGAACCCCATCAAATATGTGTGGTAATTATGGAAAATTGGTAGGGAGTGTCTCATGATGTGTTGTGTGGCCGCAAAAGTGGCCACATGGTCCAGGAATATGTTCATATGTGAGGCTCTATATGTATATACATACATACACACAGTCTCACATATGTATATACAAATAGAAGATTATTGTTTAATATTTGACCTGGTTACACAGGGAAAAGTAAAAATCAGAGTATAGATTTATAATCTTTCTCTTAGCTATTGCAAAGCTGCCAATTAGGCAAACATTCTTGAATGTGGAAATGAAGAGAACATGGTTTTCAAATGCCAGATCTGTAAACTATATTGAATATAGAATCCTGAAGATATGAGTCCACTTTACTACACTTTTCTCTGTTGTCTAGTTGTCCTTTTACCAAAATGTATTATTTTCAGTATTATGTCTAGTAACTAGACAGTTACACCCACCAACTGCCATGTAACCCCATCAACAGCCAGGATCCAGAGACTATAAAACCAACCTCCTGGAAGTGCACAGCCACATTTGCCCATGACCTCTTATGGTCTAGTTCTCAGTCTCAGAGAACCTGGCAGGCTACCGAGAGTGTTTTGCCCACATATATGCCTGACTGGGAACACCTATAAAGATGATTAGAGGCTGCCCCCAAAAGCCTCTATCCCTCTCGGAAAGCACGACAAGCTTCTAAGAGTATTCCGTCCGCATGGCAGAGCCTGGCAAACTACCCATGGCATATTTGATATGGCAAAAATAGAAACAATGTAGGTCCTCATTCCCCTGACCCTGAAAGAGCCCCCAGTATGCTATCCGGCTACACTAGCACGTGACAGGGATGGATGGAGACTTTACTGGTGCCTGCTCCAGCAAGTCGATGAACAACGGGAGGACAGTGATAGTGATAATGATAGTGATTACTTGTTTGTGCTGTAAATGATGCCAGAGAATTTTTCTTGTTATGTCGTTAAAGTGTCACTCAAATTGGTGCCAAGCAGAAAAAAAAAACTGGCATTGCTCTCAGACCAATATTTTTGCCCTTGTCCTTTTAAGGACACAGAAATAGGAAGCAGGGCCAGGACACAGATGGATCTGCCAAGTCTGAGCACGGTGCATGAAGAATCTTTGTATTATTTTCAGAGACTTAAGGCATTTCAAAACTAAAGGCTACAAAGAATATATATGCATATGTGTATATATATATGTGTGCATATTTATATATGCAATAACCAATTGTGATACTGTTTTCTGTTTAAATGTGAATCATACATATTCTGAGTATGTGTTTAAGGAAAAAAAATTAGCAGTTCACTGTTGTTCAGCTTCTAAGCAGTGAATGAAGTGTGTGTGTGTTTGTGTGTGTATTTGCACTCATGATTCAGTTTATTTTCCTATTTACATTGTTTTCTCATGAAGAAAATTGTTATTATTAACTTTTAAAACATCCCCATCCAATAAATCAGTCAAACTACAGTTCCTGGACCCGCAACGGATGGTCAAAGGGGAACGTGAATGGGTGGAGTTGAGAATTGATATAGAGCAAGGGATAGGAATCCATTCAGAACCTCAAGACCATATTTTTTCTCTTTTTCTGCAGAATTGGGTAGGAGCAGAGGTTCACAAGTACATTGAAGAGATGGTGGTTGTGGTGTCTCTGTGGGTGTGTCCTGCAATGCCCAGTTTTTGGAGTTCTGGGAGTGCCAAAGATGGAACCAGAATTAGCTGTGTGCAAAGCATGTTCCCTGACCCTTAGGAGTATCATTCTGGCTCCTATGCAAGATCATTTTGCTTTTGTTTTCTCAAAGCTTTTATCTCTACTATTGCTTGCAAATTCAGGGCAAGTGCTTAAAATAGTCATCTGAACTTGGGTCTGAAGAGTATTGAGCGGCATTCTTTCATGAAGGACAGGAGTGGTGCTCACCTCTCCCCTAATCTAATATGGCCATCTGCATCCATCTCAGTTGTCCTGTTTAAATTAAGCATTCCGCAATGCCTGGGTGTTTTATTAAGGAACATTTTTATGTGGTAGCTTATTAATAAATTATCAGGAATGAGACAAGGGGGCAGGGCTCTTGTGGTAGGGCTTAGATTGAAGAGAAGGGAGTATCAAAGAGGCCATTTTATTAGGACATCCAAGTTAAAAATAGAAGGATGTGTTATCTGAGTCCTCCCTTGAGGATCAGACCAGATTTGTTTCCTTTTCTCCTACGCTTTGTCCAAATCGTAAGTGCATTGTTTCCAAGTCAAGTAATGAGGCATCTCCTGCTTTCTTTGGAAATTATTACCAGCTACAAAGCACCTAATTATTGCTAGCCTTAAATAAATTTGGTTTTATTTCATTATTTCCATGGCATTTAGTTTCCTTTCCCCTCAGTGTTTATAAACTTTCAGCATCTGCTGAGAAAGTGATTTTCTATGTCTCTTGTAAGCACCTTGCATTCACTAAGCTATGATAGCATTAGCATCATTTAGTTAATGGAATTTTGCATTTCTGTGATCCAGTAGATTCAGATTGTATTATCACTTATACCAGAAATTGTAGGGATTCAATATGGATGGGGAAAATGCTCTGATGGAGGAAAAGGGGACTGAAATAGAAATCCTTTGTATTTCACTCTTACCAGAATTTTTGACAGAGCTGTCTGAGACAATTTTTAAAATTTATAGCAGCTATGTTACTCAGAAGATTTAAGGATTTCCTTTGTCAGCTAGGGAGGCTGGACGTGTCCTCACAGAATGTGGAACCCAAGAGACAGAGAGACTGGATTCAACATTGAATCTTCTATTCGTTTCCTCCATGAGGTCAAGCAGTTAACTCTCTTCACTGGATCTAAAAATTTCCTTCTCAGAAAAGTTCCAAAATAATTAATATGTTGTATAATTTTGCTGTGCAGATTGAGTCAGAATCACCAAAGTACAGAACAGATTTTTACCTTGTTTATATGTTATACCTTTGTTCTTTTTTTTTGTTTATATATTATACCTCTGTTCTTTTTTTTTTTGTTTATATATTATACCTCTGTTCTTTTTTTTTTCTTTTTGGGTCACACCTGGCGATGCACAGGGGTTACTTCAAGCTCTGCACTCAGGAGTTACTCCTGGCGGTGCTCAGGGGACCATATGGGATGCTGGGAATCGAACCCGGGTCAGCCGCATGCAAGGCAAACACCCTACCCGCTGAGCGATCTCTCCAGCCCCTATACCTCTCTTCTAAATTGCTTTGCTATTATTATTTGAGACTTAGAGGCCTCCCAGAACTGTTTCTATCACTAGTTTTTTACTTTGTTTTTTCCTAATACCTTCCTGTATATTTGGCTTGCACCAGTGAAAACTGGTCATTTTTAGAGAAGTTCTTAATAATTCTTCCCACCTTGGTTGAAAATGAGTGTTCTCTTTGGTTCAAAGAGTACATAAGGTGACCATGGTACTCACATACATTTTTCAGAATAAATCGTCTGTCGACAGCTCTCTTTTCCTCTTGCCAATGCTCCTCAGTTCGAACAATTTTGTTCTTTGGGTAAGGTAGAAAAAAGTCTTTTATGGTTTTCCCTAAACTTTCTTATTTAAACAAAAACAAAAGGCATGTGTTTCAGCACTCCATCAGCCCCAGACAAATTAAGCCTGTTGATCACTCTCTTTATAGGACATTTGCAATCACTGGAGACATTTTTGTTGTCACAACTCTGAGGAGTGAAATAGTACTGAAACCTCATAGGAGGGAATCATGTATGTCATAAACATTCTACAATGCACAGGATCACTGTCAAATCAAAAAAGATCTGGATCATTAATACCAGGTTGAAAAACTGACAGAACCTGTCACTTATCTTTATAATATTTAACAAACAGGGGTGTAGTGACTTAATGAAAGCAATTGCAAGTTCACGAATCACGAATCACGACCATCCTGTGATTCGTCGATTGCCTCGAGCAGGCCCCAGTAAAGTCTCCTTCATCCTAGCCCTGAGATTATATTCAAGGCTCTTTAGGAGAATGAGACCCATCATTGTTGCTGGTATTTGGCATATTGGGTACGCCACGGGGAGTTTGCCAGACTCTGCCGTGTGGGCAGGCTACATTCGGTAGCCTGCCAGTTTGTCCAAAGAAGGAATGAGATAATAAGACGTCATAATAAGATGTCGCCAATGTGGCCACGTGGTTCCGGGAGCTGGTTTTTATAGTCCCAGTCCGAGTAGGCTTGGAGATCTCGGAAGAGAACAGTGCAGTCTCCTGCCCCTGCGCCTGGCTGTGCTCGCTGGGGCCCCTTGGAAGGGAGCGGGTTGAGCTTTCTTCCCCGCCCCGACCAGGGCTCTGGCAGCTGAAGACCTCCAGGACCAGCCACTACCATGCTGAGACCACTCTCCTCACACATGAAGGTACTGGCAGAGGGACAAAGCCACGCGGG